CTTTTGAGTTTGAATTTTTGTTTTGAATAATTTTGCAAATATTTTCGAAGTCGTGTCCGTTAAAATTAACAATTTTTTACATGAATTATATTTTTATTATTATTAATGGTTTATTATAAAAATCGTCGCGCTCGATGAAAGCGAATTGCGAAATTATTTACAAACTTTAGTTAAAAGTATTAAAAAGTACCTTGTGTTACTGGCATTATATTACAACAATAGTTTACTGATCTATGAATTAATATCGAAAGAACTTTTAAATTTACAAAATTTACAAAATTTATAAATTATGTGATTGAATACACATAGTAGGAAAAAAGCTTTTTTAAAGCGCTCCGTCTTACAAGGAAACAGTGTTAATCTATTTCCGTACCTTAAATTACAATTGTGTCCATTGGCCCGAGAAGGTGGTATTAAATGATTAAGGCTTGAATCAGGCTGTCTGATTTTGTCAAAAGTTTTTATGCACAAACCATCACGTCTTGCGCGTAATGTCGAACATTTAGCTTGGTCCAGAGCAGCGTCATAGCTTAATGTGGGGTAGATTATTCGCATTGTGCGCTTCTGGACCCGTTCAATTTTATCTGACAAGTTAATGGTCAACGATGAATGCCATACCGGACAGCAGTACTCAAGCAGGGATCTAATAAGTGCAAAATGTACTCGTAGTAAATGAAACGGTGAAACCCCACTGCGCTTGAGAACTCGTAAGATGTGTAGTCTTTTTGATGCTTTGGTTACTATCTCACTGATATGCAAATCCCACTTCAGATTATTCTGGATCGTTAAACCTAATACTTTGTGGGATTCTATTCTTTCAAGACTAATGGTTTCAACAACTAAGGTGGGTGGTGGCTGCTCAATATCTCGTCGAAAGGAAACAATCATCTCTTTACACTTTTGGGGGTTCAATTTCATATTATTGGTACTTGTCCAATTACCAATTGCGTCCAATTCGTTTTGTAGTATAGATACCTCCCTTGTTGGAACAATCTCAGATATCGTCACGTCGTCTACGTACTTCCAATTACTGGAACGCGGGGATACAAATATTTCATTCCATACTTTAAATGCCAGGACGCTTTCAATTAATGTCTAGTCTACCCATTTGCTATATTTTCTCGTTTGTTTTACTAATTTTTGACCAATTAATAAGCATGTTTTTGTTTTAGAAATTGATATTCAAATTCCCCGCCATATTTTCATAATTTGGTGCATGCGCAGACGTTTTTCCGCGGTGTTGTCCAGTCCTGGATTGAGATCAGTTTTTCTAATCTGCGCCTGCGCATTAAGTGTTTTGTGGTGAAGCGCATGCGCATTTGCAACACAACAATGGCGGTTTACGGATTTCAAAATTCGAAGAAGCCTGTACTTTGGAGAGACTGTACTTCAATTTGTGCAACTATTTCGCTTGGGGGGAAGTGGATTCTAACTAAGTAAATTATAATCTATCCATTCATGTAAAAGTTATGTAGTTACACGAGGGAATTGAACATTTTCGACCCTCATCCAACGGCCTACTATGTTGAAGATTGATTTTGTTTGTAAATAAACACTGCATGTAAACAATTTTGTGAAAGGACCTTTAGAAATTGGCTTGCGAATTTCGTACTGTAATCTTTCCAAACATCCGAGCATGCATAAAATTAATTTGAAATCATGCAAAGAAATTGCTTTTGAACTAACAAAATGGAAAAAATCCAGGTTTTGAAGATCTCGCGTTGGCCTAGGCGAGCACCAAATTTCTTGAAACTTTGATAGCTTGTCCAAGACAGTCCATATTTTGACTCTGTGTGATTAAATTTTCTGTCCGATAAAAATTTTTTGCGCAAGGCGTTTTTGGGATTTTTTAGTAACAGCTTTCCTACTTTAAAAATGCTAGCATTTTAAATAATTTAGTGCCAGATGTACCAGAGAACGTTAAAGTACATAGGATTACGGAAAGTTTTCGCAAATGTCAACTTTTTCCAACTGTGTACTTTTTTAGTACACCCTGTATATCACACAACTATGATCTATTTTGTCATATTTGGCGCCTCACTGTTTCTTTGTTAGATAATATAAGCAAAAACAAGGTTAAAATTAACGGCATCTTTGACTTTAATCGACTTTTTGTACACGACATCGTACTGCGACTCGTCTGAAACCGCCATATCGAGATTGGAGCAGTGCCATAGAAATAATAGACATAGAATGCGTGCTCCTATCTTTTCTCAATAAAAATTTTGTCTCTACAAAATGGCGGATTTATAAGGGCATTTTGGCTAGTCCCAGACTCCTGCGGTAAGGAATTTCACGCAGTTGCAGGGAGTGCGCGAATTGTTGTTTTTTTTCAACAAAGTTTGCAAAAACAATTATATCGAGACTTAAAGTGGAACAAAAGTTTTTTAAAGAAGAAAAGGTGTCAAAAAAAAAGTTCTGAACAGAATACATACAGAAATCGTCGTTTGAAAATACATTTTAAACGTTGTTGTGCAAGCCAAAACAATGTTCTAAAAATATTTCAGCTTTTTTTATAATATAAATGGAGTTTAGTAATCTTTTTAAACTTACACAACTACTTTTTTTATATTTTTTTTAAGTTGCTTGAGCTTCAGACAGCGCTTTTGTAACCATAGTTTTCAACGATTATTTAGGCGATTTACAGTTTATTTATCAGCTTTATTGGACAAATATAGTAGAAACATTTACAAGTTTAAGTCCAAAGGGGATAGCGCAAACAAGACAACGAGACCCATGCTAGGCGCATGCACCCCTTCCAAATAAAGAGAAAAAAAAACCCAACCTAATTTGCTATACAAATATATATTACATAACATGCATATTAAGAACGGTGGCAGGGGCAGTCTCTTGTTAGCGACCAGGTGCATGCCACATCAACATTAAAAGTACTGTTGACCAATGCGGTGTATGTCACATGCAAAAAGCTTTTAAAAATTGTTAAACTGGCAAACTTTTCAGGAGAGGCTATTTTTCCAACATTATTCCAAGTTTTAACTATTCGGTTAAAGAACGATCCTTGGAAAGTGGATGTTCTACAGTAAGGAGATTTTAACATTAGAGATGGATTCTGAGTACGAGTTCGATTATGATGTATAAATAACAGAAAATGTTCAATGTTCAAATCAGTGTGGCCGAAAATACATTTATAGACCAGAACAAGATCCCTGATTTCTCGATCGTAAGTTAATGGCAATAAATTGAGAGTTTTCAGTCTATCTCCTTAAGACATTTCTCCAACTTTACTTTTTAGAATCCAACGTGTAGCGCGCCTTTGAACTCTTTCTAATGCAACTTATAACTTCACATTAGCTGGGGACCACACCTCCGTTGCGTAGTACAACTTTGATTTTACCTTTGAAAGTCAGATATAGTGTTCGCCTAACTTTAGTGTCTCCAATCAGGGGACAAGTTCTCTTTAAGATACCAAGCATCTTGTTGGCTTTACCGACGATTGAGAAAATGTGAGAATCCCAGTCAATATTTTTGTTTCAAAAACATGAAAACACTTCGTTTAGATTGAAGAAAAACGAAACCCGACGATGAATGAACGTAATTTAATAAAATATTAGCAAAGTAGTCACGTTCAGAGAAAGCAAAAATGTTTTATGAGTAAATTATACTTTAATACGCGAAACTACTTTGTTTTTCCGATCCTGCACGATTTTCACAGTTTTTGTCAGTAACTGCACAGTCATTTGCTTCGAGCCTTTAAGTAACTTAATATTTCAAAATATATCCCCAAACTACAAATTAGACAGCAAGACAAAACCTTTTGACGACGTAAACTTAGTTTTAGCTTTGTTATACTTTGTAGTTCGAACTCCGACTCAAATTCAACATAGCAGATTTATACGGGCACTTTTGTTTTCAATTTGGACACCGGTCACGTGACCAAGAACGCATTCTAGGTCTGATATTTCTATGAGCAGTACACAGCACGTGTGTTGTTTCATTTGATTTTTGAACGGAAGACGAGAAAGTCCCTACAGATATTGGGCATTCATATCTTAAAATTGATATTTATTTTATGATTCTCTAAATGTTAGATAATGTAAGACAGAGAATTTGAATTTTTAAAATATTTATGCTGGATGAACGTTGCGAATCTACCGAACATAATTTGCAAAGCGCTCCCCCCAGATTGCTTATATTATACATCCATCGACTGCATGCTGAGACACGTAGTGACGTAATGCCTTGCACCCCATAACAACAGTACAAACTTGACTTCGTCAACTTTGCACTAAAAATCAGCAGGGTTCCCAATACAATTTGGAGTAGAAGGCTTTGTGAAAGAAGTAGGTACAATCAGTTTCAAAAGTCTTGGGACAGATGCCACAAAACCTTGGAATTTCAACAAAACGTCAATCCCCCCGCCCCCTGTTCAATGTTGTGTCCCATTTCTCGTCAGGTTTGACGTGTTTTGGTTGGAGCAACATTGATTGGGGTAGGGGGAGGGGGAGGGGGAGGGGAGGGGAGCGGTATTGTGTGTAAAAAAACTGTAATGATCCACTTACAATCTAAAACTACATGTGTCCCAACAACTTCTGAAAGCGATTGTAGCTATGTGGTGCCGAAGGTACCACTGACTCGTCTTAGACGTCTCTCTGTTAAAATTCTGAAATTGTAACTCTTTGAAATGGCATGCCAGCCATTTTGGAGAGTTTTTGAGAGAGGTTTTGTCATTTTATCCAAATATTTAACAAAGATTATTGTGTAAAATTTATGTTAGGAAAGCAGGAAATCTTGCCCTTGACGTTTCTGCGGTAAGGAGGAAATATTTTGGTTTGTTATTTCTATATTTTGGTTTGTTATTTAAATAACTGGCGATTGCCTGGGCTGCCGGCTTCTATTGGGAACCTTCAGTTGATTTAAAATGGGCCTAAAATCATTCCAAAATGAACTAAAAATTAATTTGCCATTGAGTGCCCATCTTTCCATAACTGCATGCCCGCATGCATCTATACTTTGCAGCATGCTTTGTCTAAGTGTTTTGTCTAAGTGTTTACCTTTGTGAACTTTTCCTCACCCAATGTTTTCAAATTCTCAATTTTTTCGCGATGTTTTATACTGGACTTATTTAATTCCAGATTGAGAATATTGGTGATCTCTTTATTGCCACACAGAAGGTTCGCCTCCTTTCGTACATCAACTCTAAACTTCAGGAATGTTTGGACTACAGCAGTATAGCCTTCATAGCATGCTTTACCGAAACAAGAACGCCCCGAACGATCTTTCTTATGAACGTCTTTGTTCGCCCCATGTTGGAGAAGGTAGTCAACAATTAATTCATTTCCCCGTATACATGCCCAATATAAAACTGTGTTCTCTCCACGATGTTCTTTTGTTGTAACCTTAGCACCATTCGTAACTAAATATCTGACTATTGCTAGCGAACCATTTCTAACAGCAAAATGCAGAGCAGTGGCTTTACGCTTGCTTTTACAATTTACATCGGCACCATTTTCAACTAAATATTTGACAATTTCCAATGAATCCGCCTCAACAGCATAGTGAAGAGCAGTATTATCCCACTCATTTTTGAAATTCACATTCGCACAATGTTCAACTAAATATGTGACCATGCTTAGTGAACCCATTTTAGCAGCATAGTGAAGAGGACTATCATTGTCACTGCTTTCACAATTTACATTCGCACCATGTTCAACTAAATATTCGACAATTTCCAGTAATCCGGTTTTAACAGCCACACTCAAAGCAGTGGCATTACTCTTGCTTTTAGAATTAATATCAGCACCATGCTCAACTAAATATTTTATCATTTCCAATGAATTCAGTTCAGCAGCATAGTGAAGAGGGCTATCATTGTCGTTGTTTTCAAAATTTACTTCCGCGCCATGCTCAACTAAATATTTCACAACTTCCAATGAATCGTGGTAAGCAGCATGGTGAAGAGCAGTTTCATTTTCCACGTTCTTATAATTTATATCAGCACCATGTTGAAGTAAATATTTGACCATTTCAAGTGAATTCAGTTGGGCAGCAAAGTGAAGAGGACTAGCATTGCCATTCTTTTCAAAATTAACATCTGCACCATGTTCAACCAAATATTTGACAATTTCCAGTGAATCATGGTAAGCAGCATAGTGAAGAGCAGTTTTGTTTTCCGCGTTCTTATAATTTATATCTGCACCTTGTTCAACTAAATATTTGACAATTTCCAGTGAATCAGATAAAGCAGCGTAATGAAGAACTGTCTCGCCATTGTCGTCTTTTTCATTAACCTCAATACCAGATTCAACCAACCGTTTCACTTCTTGAAAACTTCCTGTTTCAGCAGCAGCCAAAATTCCCGACATATTTGCATATCTGTCATAATAAAGGTAAAAAGAATATTAAACACTGCTTGCCAAGTTATATCAGTACGAAAGAATATATTTTAGGTACGAATCATGTGAAAAAACTATATCAAATTATGACACACGAATAATGATCCGCTCCGGTATCTTACTATGACTTGGTATCCGGGCAAACTAAACTCCTTATTGTTCCACGGAAAGGATGGAGACATGTTTAAAGAATTTCTGGTGAGTGTTTTGGAACAAACAAAGGTGCATACAGACTGTTTATCCCCTACAGTTGCGGGTGCGTTGCTAGAAACCGAGCCTCCCCTGGTCGAATCAATCAAAACTGTCAGTGAAAATAGCGTTGATCCTAACCAATCTCCCCCAGAGAATCATACTTGCGCCTGTAAATCTTATACTGCAAATCTAAAAGATGTCAAATTAGACATTGCAGTTATACAAAAACAAATAGAATCTATTAATCGGGTCATAGATTCCACAAACAATATTATAGAATCTATGAGTGTTATCTTTAGCCCCTCAGGCACGGAAAGCCATCAAATATCCTACGACCTTAGAGTTGAAACATTGCTCAGAGAGTTTTCGTCAATTTTAAACGAAAAAACAGAGAATTGGAGAAACGAGATAATATTATTAATAGTCTTCAAGAAAAATTAATCAAGGTTGAAAGCGAATATCAAAATGTTGAATCCCTAGTTGCAGAACGCCATGAACAAGAACAATGCCAACACAATAGAAATCATAATTGGCTTATTCATAATGAGAGCAGAAGCAATTTACCTAATACCCAGGCAGATGATTCCAATATAAATATGCAAAATCAAAATCAAGAAAATAGTGAAAATTTACATCTGGTCAATAACAAAGAAATTGTCCAAATTAAAACTTTTTCTGATAAGGATCAATCGCCCCCTCCACGAAAGGTTAAATCCGGACTTAAAGATTCGGTCGAGCTGAAACTACAACCTGTGCCACACGAACCACCTACCTCTAGATCTAATGAATGCTCTCAACAGGTTTTTCTGCCCTTAATGAGTAGCATACCTACAGGTCTGCTACAGTTGAGTAAACAACAGCCGCAAAGTTCCTATAAGGACATAGCTAACAGCGCACCTGAAGATACTGGTGAAGGGAAAATGCAATCTAAAGCTACTAAGGACGATCGAATGTTATTTCCACCTTTCAAACTCAGCTCACACCAACCGCAACCCCGACGTCCACAACCGCATATAAATTATTCTCGGACTCGCCCTCGTACTAGACCA